ATTCGAGCGCCGCGATATTTGGGTATGGGTCGTTTGTTAGGGTTTGCTCCCGCGAGTTAATTATACGGGTTAGCCAGCCCTTGCTTATCCGCGCGCGGCCCTGCGTGCGCTCGTGGAGTTCGGAAATGGCAGATGCGAGCAAGATAGCGATGGGTTCTTTTGGTGGAGTGCCGGCAAGGATCTTTGTTACTGAGTCGCGCCAGAATTGGAGTCGCATCAGTCCGATTGTGGGGGAGGAGGTTGTGTCAGGGATCATGGAGAGGGAGACGTTTAATGCGCGCAGCGCAATGTAGAATGATTGCGCATGTCGTGGGATGAAGGTGCTCAGTGTGTAGGAGGGGCGGTCATATTTTCTGCGAGAAGAGTGATCTATTAGCTTTCGGACTTGTTTCCATCGCTGGAGCTTCAATTGGTTTGAAGGGCTACAGGGACGGTGTTTCATACGAGAGAAGAGCGACACAGTATTTGTGAGCGCCTTGGACTTCTTCCGCGGTAATGGGTGCGGCAATAGATTGTGTCCGGCTGAACTGTCGTTTTTGTGATTGAAAACTTCGTAGGTAGAGCCTGTAGGCCCTACTTGCCTGACATGGCCGAGCTGTCCCGAGAAAAGACATGTTCAATGTGAAGTCAACAAGCTCCGGGGAAAAGATTCGATGTAATCGGGGCAAAGGCATTGGCCGGCCAATCTTTGTCAGCGATGCCCCAGGCACCTACAAGTAGACTTGGGAAATCTTGAGAAAATCTGTAGTATTTTAGTAAATTACGTTACTATAACTAGGAGTAAAAAAAAGATATTCTAAGAATGAGAATTCAAATGTCTTGAGAGAAGTGCAGATATCAAAATCCATTTCGAACATTTTCCCTCCAAGACTGACGTCGATCCGCCTGACTTCGCGTTTCTCGGCGCGTCTCCCCGAACTCAACTTTTTTTCATCTTCATCACGAAACTCGATGGTTCAGCCAATATGAGTGAGGATGTAGAGCAACGCCCAGCAAAGAGGCAGCGTTTCTTCACTGATAATCCATCCTCACCTTTACCCACCAAACTCCGAGATACAGACGCGTCCCTGCCTCATTGCCCGGAACACGAAGAGTATCGGACAAACCATGGCGCCGCACTCGAGATTCCGCCACTCGACCACATCCCAAAAAGCTCTCCTAGCTTAGAGAATGAAAGATATCAGCAGGATACCCAAGTTCAAACAACAGAAATCCTAGGGTTGCCCATTGCGGACGATGCGCCTACTCCCCCTCTACACCAGAATGGAGTAGATCAACAAATCGAGGAGGAAGTGACTATCAATACTACCATAACAAGCACACCTGCGGATGGCTTCGATGTCGACCTTTTCACCAGTATAGTGGGAGAGCAACTACCTGCCGATTCAATCAAAACCATTCAATCAGCTGCTTCCAATAATCTCGAGCGAGCTGTTAACATATACTTTGATGGATCATGGAAGAAACCTGTGCGGATAAATAGCAGCATTGCAGCCAGAAGTCGGAACCCTGCTCTTCGGGTACAGCCTACCCCCGAAACGCCAGTTGAAAATGAATCGGTGTTGCGGAATCAGCCACCAGCAAGGTATGTTGGCGCATTTGGTGTCGGAGGATGGGCAACAAGAAGTGGCTTGGGAGTTCTCAAGCATGGAGACCCCATCAACATTGAGCGCGCACGCTCGCAGCCAACGATGAAACGCGGCCGAGGAGGCAAAGCATTTGTCAATCACAAAAGTGATGTTCTGACTCGATTCACGAACACCTCGGGGCAAGAAATCGGAAGGCTGCCACATGAGACCGCTGAATGGGTTTCTACGCTGATTGATCAGAAGATCTGTCGGTTTGAAGGAGTCTGTGTATTTGTACCTGACAGGGTGCGAGTCAACGATACCATATACTTACAACTCCGAGTCTACTTGCGAAAGGAAGCCTTCCAAAGTGGAGCGCTCGCTGCCTTGAACGCCGATGACAACAGGTCTACTGGACTTTTTGAAGAGAAGGAGAGCACCGAGGAGAAGAATCTGCGACTACGTCAAGTCGGTCTAGTCAAATTGTTTCACGAGATTAGTCTTCATCCTACCTCGACCAACCCGACTACGGAAAAGCACAAAAGAGAGGGGATTCTGCGTGCCGCTGAAATTGCAGAGCAATATGACAGCACGAAGAAGGAAAACAAACCCAAGCCAAACAAGGATTCGAACGACTCATCAGGCGAAGACGACAGCGAAGAATTAGAAGAGGATCAGCTCGACACGCTGTATCAGAAGGCCCAATCGTTTGATTTCAACATGCCAGCGGCTCATCCAGCACCTAGCTTCACCCTTGATCTACGCAAGTACCAACAACAAGCCCTTCATTGGATGTTGTCAAAAGAGAAAGACTCAAAGCAAACTCGGGAAAAGTCAATGCATCCATTGTGGGAGGAATACACTTGGCCCATAAAGGATGTTGACGATAAAGACTTGCCACAAGTTAAGAACATCGACCATTTTTATGTCAACCCGTATTCGGGGGACCTCAGTGTGGACTTTCCTGCTCAAGAGCAACACTGCCGAGGCGGTATTCTGGCCGATGAAATGGGTCTGGGTAAAACCATCGAGATGCTCAGTCTGGTTCATTCACACAAAATTGAGCCTGATCCACAGATTTCGAATGGTCTCAGCTCAGTAAATGACCTCGCTAGGGTGCCGAACTCTTCCGGGGTGGTGCCTGCGCCGTATACTACTCTGGTTGTTGCACCGACATCTTTAATCTCTCAATGGGAAAGTGAGGCACTCAAAGCCGGGACATTAAGAGTTCTTGTTTATTATGGGTCGGACAAGGCTGTCAACTTGAGAGAATTATGCTGCGAATCCAAATACGCAACAGCTCCACAGGTGATTGTCACTAGTTATGGTGTGGTGTTGTCGGAATTCCGCCAGCTCGCTCTCCAGTCTGCTCTAGGGCCCAATGCAAATGGAGGTCTATTCTCTGTGGAATTCTTCCGAGTAATCCTTGATGAGGCCCATGTGATCAAGAACCGCCGTTCTAAGTCCGCCAAATCATGCTATGAGTTAAAAGCCGCCCATCGGTGGGCACTAACTGGCACACCCATTGTCAATCGTCTTGAAGACCTCTTCAGTCTGGTGCGTTTCCTAAAAGTGGAGCCATGGAGCAATTTCTCCTTCTGGAAGACGTTTATCACTGTGCCATTTGAATCTAAAGAATATGTGCGGGCTCTTAATGTCGTGCAAAGTGTACTGGAACCACTTGTTCTTCGGCGGACCAAATCAATGAAAACCCCCGAGGGCCAACCCTTGGTCCCCTTGCCCAAAAAGACAGTCACTATTGAGGAAGTGGAGTTACCGAAGCAAGAACGAGAAATTTACGACTACATCTTCACCCGAGCGAAACGAACTTACAATGACAATGTTGTGGCTGGCACACTGTTGCAGTCTTACAGCACCATCTTTGCTCAAATTCTCCGTCTTCGTCAGACTTGCTGCCACCCTATAATGACACGCAACAAAGCCGTCGTTGCGGAAGAAGAGAGTGCGGCGGTAGCAGCTGATGCAACCAATGAGTTTAAAGATGATATGGATCTTCAAGAATTGATCAACCAATTCACGACGGAAAACGAGAATGCCAGCTCTCAAGATACATCTGGGACGATGGTTAAGTTCACCACCCATGCTCTTCGGCAGATCCAAACCGAGTCCAGCGGCGAGTGCCCTATCTGTTGTGAAGAGCCTATGGTCGATCCTGCAGTAACAGCTTGCTGGCACAGTGCATGTAAGAAATGCCTCGAAGACTTCTTGCAACACCAAATGAACAAGGGTGTCGAGGCACGGTGCTTCAACTGCCGTGCTCCAGTGGATGCAAAGAATACCTTCGAGGTAGTACGGCATCCGTCCTCAAATTCAAATTCTTTTGGAGACGACACTGTGAGCAGCACACTACCCACTAGTTCTCAACCTGCCCCACGGATCTCCCTCCGTCGCATATACCCCCTCTCACCCTCAGCCCACACTTCAGCCAAGATCCACGCCCTTATCAATCACCTCGGACGCATCCCTCCAAATACCAAATCTGTTGTCTTCTCTCAATTCACCTCCTTCCTAGACCTTATCGGCCCACAACTCTCCCGAGTTGGAATCTCCCATCTCCGCCTCGATGGCTCAATGCCCCAGAAAGCCCGTGCCGCAGTTCTAGCCGAGTTTACAAAAGCAGAGAGCTTTACTGACGATGACATTGTCGATATGGAAGACGATACCCCGGGGACAAGTGGGCCTACAAAGGCTAGCTCACCCTCACCTGCAACACCAGCCCCTACCGTCCTACTTATCTCCTTACGTGCCGGTGGTGTAGGCCTCAACCTAACAACCGCAAGCAATGTCTTTGTGATGGATCCATGGTGGAGTTTCGCAATTGAAGCGCAAGCCATCGACCGTGTCCATCGAATGGGCCAGACACGTGATGTCAATGTGACACGATTCGTGGTCAAGGATTCCATAGAAGGCCGCATGCTGCGCGTGCAAGAGCGTAAAATGAATATTGCCGGCTCGCTTGGGTTGAAGATTGGTGGTGATGATGGTGATGCTGATAAGGGGAAGGACAGGCTTGAAGAGCTCAAAATGTTGTTCGAGTAATTGTTAGATAGCTTCAAGTTGGTTTTTGCTTGCTTCTGCTTACACTTGGGATACCCTGCTCTGGCCTGTAGATATGGCAAAATACAAGATACCATTTATTTCCAAATTATGGCCCTAGAGGTCTCAATTACGTTGTTCGACTTTCCCGGCAATGGTCACAGGGAAGAGTCTGGACAAAACAATTCAATGTTCAATTGGATATTAATACACATCAAATGAGAAATGAGGCATGTCAAGTAAACAAGTTCGCAAGATATAGACCTTAATAACTCTCAAAATTTCAAAAATAAATCAATCCCCAAGTCAATACATCGGAGGCTTCGTCACAAATACAATCGCTCCTAGATCCGAGCTAAACAAAGATACTGCCTTTTATTTGCTCGAGTGATGAAGATGCTTCTTAACGCTCTCCTTCACCTTCGACATGGCACCCTGCTTCCCACTACCACGAGAAGAAGACTCAGAATTATTGCTCAAAGGCGAGTCGTTCGTCTTCTCGCTAGATTCACTCGCAGAACCTATTAAAAAAGAGTCAGCATCAATCTAAACCAATATATACAGGCATAGGAAAAGGGAAACATACTCTGCTCAACATCATCATCGTTACCTGAAGACTTCTTCCCCCTATACTCCTTCTCGAAGTCCTCGGCGGGTCTCGGCGCGGGACCCTGCGGGCCCTTGAGGGCTTCTTTGCTCACATCGTGAGAACCTGCTGTGCCGGCAGCTTCGCTGCTCTCGCCACCTTCGGCCTGCGAGGTGCTACGCTGTTCTTTGTTGGAGCTGGAGCTGTTGTCGTCATTGCTTCCGCTGGTTTCTGTAGAACCGCTGGAGATGGGCTTGTTTTCTTTGCTTTCGCTGGCTTCTGTAGAGTCGCCGGTGATTGGCAGAGCGGGGGTAACGCTGGTGCAGGCGCTGATAGAAAGAGGGGCGTGTGGGGTGGTGATGCTAGTAACCTCGGTTCTTTGGGGCTTGTTGCTTAGGATGGGGTGCTGGGGTGCGGTATTGACGTCTGATTTGATTGCGCCGGGTTGCTCTGTGGGGGTGAGGCGTTAGATATACTGGTCATATGTGATTTGAAACTCGTTGATAGTATTATGGTGGTCTATGAAATTGGGCTTGTATAAACATATACTTATATTGTACTTACCATCGCGGTTGCCGCCATCATAGGGATCTGTGGCACTTCCTTGGCCTTGGACACCGGAGAGGGGCTCTTCGCCGTGCTGTTGGGCCTGAGGGGAGCTGTTCTCACCCCAAATGACAGTCGAAGCAGCGTTGACGTATTTGTTGACGGTCTCCATGGCTGTATCGTTGTATAGTTCAGATGAATGGATATATAAGGTGGAGTTTTGATAAGAGGATAATAGTAATGCGAGATAATGTGTTGTTTTGTATACTCGAAATATAAGTGGCAAGTGGATTGAATTCTTGGAAGCTCTGGGCAGGTCAAGCTTTAAGAACCCACAGAGTGAGGCCTTGTTCAATACGTCAGTGGTTTTGGGCCACGGTGGCTTGCAAATAGATCATGGATCATCCCCGGCCTTTCGTAAAATTCAATTTGATTCCACTGATTGCTTAATGGCTTGCGAATGAGAATGCAGTAATATAAATTGGATTATCGACAGAGCGGCGATCGTCTGGGCCTATGTCATAGAGTGACGTCATGCTATATCTGTCATGTGACCTCATACTACAGCAAGTCGCAATAGCAACAGATACCTACTTTGTACATGGGTAGATGCAAGATAATAATAGAACTAATGTAATCAGCTTGTAGTCAATTGAAATTTATATTAACAGGGCAAACATAAACACAATCCGGGTAAAAAAGACTTCCGAGGTTGATGTGTAACGCCTAGCTAGAAAAAAAAAAGATGAAATTTCAAGGAACAAAGAAAGAACAAAGAAACCCCGTAGAACGTTGAAAAGAAAAAAAAAAAAGGGTCTAATCATGAGGTGTCGTGGGTGTAGGAGTGGAAGCTCCCTCCTTTGCATTTGGGTTCAAAGGTTGCGTTGGGTCATAACCGATGCTCTTAACAATTCCCAGTCCTTTCGTCTTGCCCTCACGGAAGAGGACACGGTCCCCGGGGGCCAAGAATTCAGGACGCTGTACGAACCTGAACGCGACTAGCGCTCGATCTCCAGTACGAATGAAAGGGCGATCAATATCTATGACGGAACATGTCTGACTGACTGCCCCGACATGAAGCATAGCCTGGTATTTAGGCTTGATGGTAGTTGCATGAGAAAGAATGAGAACTATTTTGATCAGCATGTGGTCAATAAAGCCTGAATAGGCGACTTACCCTCCGCGACGAATTCCCGATACACCTTTGGAGCTTCCTCCATCTTTTTCAACACTACCATACCCTTGCGCACTTCCTTCCGGCGGACGCGCTTCAGGGCGAAAGATCCAGATTGGCCGGCAAAGCAAGCATTCACCTGGATACGCTTGCGCTCAATGGACTTGATGACGGTGGTGGTGAATTGGCCGAGTGAGTCTGGTCCCACCATGACCGAGTCTCCGGCATGAATGACACCGGACTTGACCACACCTGCGACAACTGTACCCACATGAGGAACAGAGAAGGTGTCGTTAATCAGGAATTCGAAGGCTCCCGCGGCATCGTATTGTCCGCGGTGGGGCAGAATATTTAGGAAGGTCCGTACTAGGTCAAGGTTCTCTCCTGTGACATTGGACACTTGGAAGATAGGACATATCCGCTGGCTGACGAATTGTGCCGCCGTATTAATGGTCTCCTCCATATCCTTGACGAATATTGGAATCTTGCGCGCGCCAGGCGATTTGAGAATCTTGGTCAGCTGGGACAAGGTCTCCTGCAGAATATGGGGCGGACAAATGTCAATCTTGGTGACAATAACCATGACAGGCACATTGAGGGCCAAAGCAATACCCAGATGCTCCTTACTCATTCCAATGAGACCGTTATTAGCAGCGACCATCAGCAAACAGTAGTTGGGGCTGCTGCTCAGCATACCAAAGACTGTGGTGCGCAGATACCGCTCGTGGCCTGCCAGGTCGGAGAAAGCGATGACCTTAGCAGAGCGCTTGCCGATATCTTCCCAGGAGAGCTTCCGGCCCTGCGTATTGCCAACTATTTCACCTCGGCTGTCGAAGCCCATGATCTCCAACCCGACGGAGCTGGTACGCCCGCTTTCGATCTCGTGCTTGTGGCGGAAGAGATTTACTCGCGCACGACCACGCCCATCGTCTAGACCACCTTTCACCAGCACTCCCAGCGTAGTGCTCTTTCCAGCATCGACATTCCCCACTACGGCAATCCGGAGCTCCGCCATCTCTTCGATGTTATCAGCGTGGTGGCGCACGAGGACCTTGCCCCAGGAGCCCTGTACCCGGTCATTTGTGACAGGCGATTCTTCGGGGCCTCCGACATTGTAGGTCAGCAATACTCGGCAGTGGGCGGGGATGGTCTCGGCCGCCTCGCGCAGGCGCTGCAGCGCCGCCTTCCATTGATCGAGGTCGAAGCCCATGGATTCACCACCATCCTCCAACCCGAGATCGAAGATAGTTTCGCCGTGGCCTTCATCAATGCGTGTTTGTAAGGTCCCCGCTAGCATTTGCAGATTGTCTTCGATGGCATCGCCTGTGCCGAGAAGGAGGTCCTTAAGCTTGGCTGTTTGAGGGGCATCGGACAGGCCTAGCTGATCGAGAATGTCGAGTTCTGCATGGTCCTCAAGATCGCGCGACACGCTGGCGGTGGAATATCCGCTGTCGCTGGGTGCGACTTGACCGGAGCGGTGTGCTTGCTGTTTGTCGGCATACTCGGCGAATTCACTGAGAGCCTAAGTTGAAGAGCATGTGAGATGAGGGACTTCTCACATCTTCCTTGGAGAAACATACGACTTCACCTCGTTTTCGCTCCTCATGGCTTAGTTTCCCGGTTGCAGGCATTATGTGGAGTTGGTAAGTTCAACCGTGTCGACTGCTCGCTGTGCCGCCTTTTTAGGGTAGTGACGTTATTGGTCGGTGGATCGGATCGCCGTTATTGTTGGCGGATGTGAAGATGTATTCGAGTGATCATAGTTTTCTTTTGCTCAATGAACAAAAGATAAGAAGAAGATCGATGTAAATATTTGAAGAAGTGTTCAGAGAGTACATGGTAGGGGACATGGGGGAGCTTTATCGATAAGTCGGAGTCACTAGTTGAGTCATCGACCATGCCATCTGCCCCCGGGGCCAGGTAGCGGAGAGAGCTATACCAGCCACATTTCACCAGTGACTCAATATAATTGTACTAGGAAGAATGTCGAATCATAAGGAATACTGTGACTAACAATTGCACAGCCTCGGGCTCACAAGGCTATATCCAACTATATCCAAGGAGACTAGTGCGGATGATCATAAACCAATTTCCATGGTATCGTTACCTATCTATGTTGACTGCATTTTGTGGTATCTTGTGTCCTTCCTAGTATTGTTCCCGTCACCATACGCCTTTCTCTCTATCAAGGGCATATTGAGTCCATCATGCCTGGGGGGAGATCAAGACGACGGAGTCTCCTAGACAAGAATCAGCAACCCACTCCAAACATTCCATAATTGCTCCGACTCACCTCGCACGAAAAGCATCTCTTCTTGTTTCTTGATTGTCTGTATCCGAGAACCTAGATTAGCCTGTGTCCGTGTAAATCTCCAAGATTCACATGATCCATACTCGCAAAGTCTCCTCTTCGTTCTCATCCTCTTCCACCACGTAGATTGTCTCCTCCACATCGCCGAGAACTAGGTTACAGTGGCTGTCGTAGGCCTGTAGGTACGTATCATAGTCAGTAGTTATCCTGAAGATTGCCAGATGGGGGGTAGCTCACATGAAGACGACCCTTGAGTTCACGGTCACCGCGCAGCTTCACGAAGACGGTCTCATCGAGGGAGAGGCGAACGAGATCCAGGGGCTCTGAGACGGATGGACCGCCAGTATCTTCAGTGTCGGCCATGATAGAAGAGTGATTGGATTGGGTTTAAGTGGAGGTCCACACACACGCAGAATCAACGAGCTTTGGCTGATACCTAATGTGGTTTAGCGTGATGCTTGGCAAAAAGTGAGATGAGTCAGCAATTTACCCCGGGTTTTCAAAGTTTCGCAAGTATCCACTTAGAAATCTAGTCAGCCCTAGAGGTATATGGTGGAGCAATTGACCAAATCGATTGGATATCCAGACATATGTAGTATAAGCTGTTAACCACATATCATAACCATAAAATCAAGTAATCCTCAACAGTCTCGCCTAATTCCTTGTGCACTTGTGCAGGGATCTTGTGCTTACTTGGTTTGAAGCACAACCACAACCCGCATGAAAGTACCTTGCCAACAGATCCGGGGTGGTCGAGGCGCACTTCCCCTCATTAGATCCCTGATGGTTTGGTGCTATTTGTTTTCTTTCTGATTCTTGAACACTAATTCCTTGCTACAATTTCCCCATGCGAAGGTTCTCACTCACCGAGAAGTTCGCTTCTCGCTGGGGTATCTCGTCTCGTCCTGGAGGCAACATCAGCAAACGCAGGCAATTTCCCCCACATCGTAATCTCAGTCACACGAGACAGTCACCTCACGTCGTAACCTCTCCAAATACAACGACATGGGATATTTCTGCACAAAGAACGCTACAGGCTTTCTATCGCAATTCCATACGGCAATTGGCTACAACAAGTCAACGACGGAACAGCACACTCACTGTTCCCCGTCCTGCAAATCTCAGAAAGGAAATCCAGGTGTCTCTACCGAAATGGAGCTCGCCCGCAGAGGAGGCACGATATAGGGAGAACTTCTTCCGAGTCCTTGAAAATGGACAACCGAACCAAGTGAGGGAAGCCATGGTCGATCCACGGTCGGTAGAGCTAGTTGGATCGCTACCAACAACCGTTTTTATCGAAGCCCTGCACCTCCTCTCTCCAGCTCATTTTGTGATACCCTACCGAGATCTTCACCACACTCTTCACTGGTGGGGCGTGTTAATGCTAGGGCTCAAGACCTTGGAAGCGGTGTTCGACGAATTTACGAGGGACTTGCTCACGATCATCCAATATAGAGCCGTGGCTGGGTGTCCCCCTCGACTAGCCGAATACAGACATCTCTTCAACTGTGCTCAGGCGATGGGAAATGGCCCCTTAATGCATGCTCTTTGGGAGGGGATGTATGCCAACGATGTTACTCCTGACACGGTGTGCTATAATCACTACATGGAAGCACTGGTCTGGGACCACTGTTACGTGGGAAAAGAAGCATACAATACTCGCATGGTCCCTCAAAGCTACAAAAAGCGGCACATGGTAAATCCGAATCCTGGATGGCGTGGCTACGGGACGGCGCATTACAGTGTCAAAGGAACCGTGCTGGATATCTTCAGTCAAATGAGCCAGGATGGGCTAACTGGGGATGAGCGGACGTACACCAACGTCCTCCTTGCAGCAGCACGGGTTGGGGACATGCAAGCTACCAAAAATACTCTCAAGAATGTCTGGAACGTCGAAGTTGATGCGATCTTAGCTGAAAAGGATAACTCGCAGCTGCCACCGGTTACGCCCTATGAAACTTGGTCCGGTCTGTACCCAACCGAGCGTCTTCTTTTTGTCGTGGCCCATGCCTTTGGCACAAATAATGACATGTATGCCGCCTTAAGAACAGTCGATTTCCTGGCTTCCTCTTACAACATCACCATTTCAGCAAAGGTCTGGTCCGAGTTGCTTGAAAGGACATTTACTCTGTCCAAAGAACACAAGCGGAGACAGGCAACAGATGGGCGAACAGGCCGAGTCCCAAGAGACATGGTCCGCGACGTGTTTCAGATATTGACAACAGAGCCGTACAATGTTCCTGCAACTCTGCAAATGTACCGATATATGACCCAAACAAACAAACTAGACCGCAATCTAAAGGCTTGCAAGACGGACATGCGTAAGGCATATGACATCTTGAGCCAAACGAGGGCAAAACGGAAGGAAGCGAGAGATGTCGTTATGCAATGCCTGCAGCCAGTCTTGGACAGCATGAGACCACCGGCGAACGATGGGATAAAAGTGCAGGATCCAACCAAGCACCAACAAGAGAATGATGTGGAACCAGACTTATCACTACTACAGTGTCCCCTGCTCGCTGAAGCCATCAACACATACGATCTCCTCCGGCTCGAAGTGTTCCAGCAGATTTATCAAATGCAGCGCATAGCCTATTCCATGATCATCACGCATAAGTGGAGGGACGTATCGCCCAGGGCCTGGGAGCTCCAAGAACGGCCCAAGCTTCTAGAAGAATGGAAAGACTTTCTGCCAGAGCATAATAAGTACGAATACAGAGACGGGGAGGTTGGGACAGTCGATTTCAAAGGCATCACAAATGCCAAGAGCCGCCATATGAGCCAGCATGGCCGCATTCATGCACGGCGGATACCAGATGGCTCGGAACTGTTCCATCCGGTTGAGCCTAAGATCCTCGATGATAGGATATTCTGGGAAATCTTGCTTAATGAGTACCCCAAGCTGGACCCGTCCGTTTCGCCGCTCAATCGCATCTACTCCTTCCAGGTCGAAAAAACCAAAGTATTAAAGGGAAAGCTCGGCAGGCTCAAGACGTGGGTTACGTACCCGAAAGAGCATCCTTTGTCGCAAGAGAATAGACCTTCTGGTGGGTTTTATGGTCGCATTCATGCGCTGGGATTTACTGCTAAACCCCAGAGCTCTATCTTCTGGCGGGATGGCAATCCTTGGCTTTCATGAGCAGGGCACTCTCTTATCTTTTATATCGTTCGAAGTATTTGCGCTTGACGTCAATTATGATATCCATTTGTACAATTTTATGAGCAGTACCATTTTTGTCTGAGTCTTTTTTTCTCCTACTTTCCTCGTACTGCAAGAAATGTATGTCCATTATGAAGCCCCTCGGGTAGATGAGCACTGTAAGTTGAATAGTAGAGATGAGTATACAATAAGGCACATAGGCCTTGAGAAATCATATGCAGACATGAAGCGTGAGATATCAACGCAAGCAAAGGGTAATCAGTCAAAATGATACAAGATCTGAGCAAAAGCAGCACAGATGTAAAACTAGGTCCCCATCCAGGGCATAGCAATTCCTAAATAGGAACAAGGAAAGGGCCAACCTAGACCTTCTCGCGCTGAAGATCATTGACAGTCATATATCTCCCAATGGTGATCCAACCCCACCGGAACCAAACCATCTGACTCTTATGACAGTTAACCATGGCGGACTGCGCAGTCAACCACTCATTTATCGAGCTAACAAACAGCAGCCGCACAGGACCAGCCGAAGCCCCCGCATCCTTCTTTTTCGACCCCGTCAACCCAGCAACCAGATTACTCCACACACCAAGGAACATGGAGACTGGCGCATCAAGCACACCCGCATACTTGCGGAACACGGACGTCGTAGTAAGGGTATACAGCGTGACCGGGCAAGTAAAACCCGCCTTATCCTTCATCAGCGCGCGGACGAAGTTCACAGCGCCGTAGTACAGCGAGCGGTGGTTAGGATGATTACTGATGCCATGTTTATCAAAAGTGATGATGACATCGATAGTAGCGGTAGGAGCCTTATTACGATCGACACGCTTGCCGGGCACCTTCTGCAGCGCAGCCATTTCCGGCGCGAAGGCCGATGCCAGCAGCGACGAGATCTGCTCCTCGTCCCAGTCCTTGTCCATTCCATCCGGGAAGCGGTTTATGTCGTCGATGATAAAGACGTCCGATTCGCTGCGCAGCCCGAGCTGCTTGGCGGATTTCTGGAGCTCTTGTTTGCGCGTCTCGCCTAGACCGTCTGCGTCGCCGCTGCTGAGACAGAGGATCTTTAGGTGGTTACCGAGCTCGGGCTTGGTGAGGGATAGTACGCTTGGCGCGAAGAACATGGCTTCGTCGTCTGGGTGTGCGATTAGGAGGCAGATGCGTTTGTTTTCGAGACGTGGGAAGGACCGTGTGAAGGGTGAGGAGGAGGTTGAGGAGAAGGTCCAGAATATGAAGACTGCTGTTATGGCTACCGCTAATGCGGTCCAGTTGAATGAGGTCGACATTGTGGTGTTCAATTGGTGTGTTTTGCGGGTTTGCCGGAGTTGTCTGGAGATTTCGTGGGGTTCCACGCCTCGTGGTTCCGTTTCTCTGTGTTCCGGGTGGGATCGAGGATCAACCTGGGGTGGGGGATATGTGTTGTGTTTGTCGATATGGATTATTGCCGGAGGTGCGGTAGTAATTAAGTCGAGACTAGCGCAATGCGGTGCTCGATTGTAATGTGGTGGAATTGTTTATCGGTGGATCAGAGTAGATCAAAGTCGAGACATGTGTATGGTGGGGAACTGCGAATCATCCCACTCGTGTCGCTGCAGGGGTCAACTACTTCTGGGAGGAAGTAACAGCCAATCCCATGGTGATGCTAGAGCAATCCAAAAAAGAACACGGTGGCTTGAGCTCCCATCCGGAATAGGGGAAGCTCAATTGTCCCATGGCGATCCATCTCCGGAAGGGTCACGTGTCGGCTTTATGTACGATGTCTACGGAGTACTTTGACCACATTTTCTTATTTTGATAAAATGATAAATGAATTCAACATAAGACAAAACTGATATAATGTGCATAAGACTTACCCAGATTCTCAACTGTGTACATTACAATTGTAAAAGGTTTTGGATTCGCTGTTTGTAGCGATGTCAAGTGAAGTTGGTTATTTTATACATCCGTGGATCATTTTGTGGGATCTTAACCATATCAAATGTTTATTTTATCTTTAATCTCTATCCGCAGAAACTCATGTATGGTACTACTACATCTAAAGCATTTTTAGCATTATTTTATACTATGAGGTTAGGACGAGCTATACACTTGCGGAGCATATGGGCAAATATTCATATGTTGGCAACGAGATTGAATTCTCATCATACATTACAGAATGTATAAGGTATGAAGTCAATTTTGCCTAATTGGGCCGTTCCCCACAGAAGAAAAGATGTAGTTCATTCTAATTTAGAGCTCTTAAGCCTTGACTCAGCATCTGAAGAGATGGCATGGAGGTGCCAGAAAACAAGCCAATTGGAGGAAAGAGTAAATTAGACCATGAAACCCATGAAAACCAGCAGGCATTTTTTTCAATTGACAAGCAGTTTTATTAAGTGGCGATGGCTTATAAGGTGATGAGATGGATATATATCTCAAGCTAGAAGGCAAGAAAGCGCGGGGTTGTGGTCTTCACCCTCAGGTACTGTTAAAGTGTAACTATAGATCGGATCAATGGAGCGCTGTTGCTAAGGTAACAGTTCTTAAATGTCTCATTCAATTAATTCCTTCTACACTTTCCTTTTGCTTGAGAGGAACTTTGTTGATGATTTAGATCACTCTACTTCTTTGGGCTTAAATGGTTTCTTTTTATTTTAACCCGCATCTCATCTGAATTAGCTATAACTCAACTGTCTAGAACTCGCCGTCTTAGAAAAATAGTCTACGGAAGCTCTTCGCTCTTTATATAGCTCTACTTTCCACCGAACAAGAACGCAACGCCTGATAGAAGGCGAAATGATGATGCAGAAAACCCTCGGAGACGTTTGGGGTATGTACTAGCCCTAGAAGCCACCATCTGCATACGCTCCACGCCAAGATCTGATAAAAAGTCTTATTTTGAGTCTATGCTTGAGTCACACAAAACTGAAACGAATATTGATTAAGTATTGAAACCACTTTTTTTAATACCTTTAGGTACGTCGCATTGATCTGATCAGCTAACTATAAAACCGACCTCGGAACGTATATTCCTTGATTTTAATAGACGAGCCTAGGCCAATACCCATACACGAATTCTTTCCACACCGCCAGCCAAATTGAAGCCATTGCACTATCAAACCGGGTAACGGGCCGGTTCTCATAACGATCGTCTCATTGCCAAGCTAATGGTTAGCTAATTGTTACCCCAAGAGACGAGCGGCGGTCTCCGACACATAATCTAGAAAAAGTCGAAACTACGGTTTCTGCCCCATCAAAGGTGGAGGCCATTCCACAGTGTGTTATCTATTCTTTAATTAAGCCAAAAGAAGGGGGAAAACACCCAGGGCCGAATCTGAACCAGGGATGAGAGTGACCATAGCGGGCCGTGAGAGGTGAGGCTAAAGATCACGTTGCGACGGGCCGAGTATAAAGTTCTGAGTGGATGACCGACAGAAAATTTCTGCTTTCCCGCGCTTAAGCGGACACCCGACCATTCTCCGTGCGGAACCAATTTTTATTATGTATTTATTGAATTACAATTAGTTTTAGCTTCAGTTTTGCGGTTTTAAATGGCGCCATTTATAAAGCGGTTGTAAAATGTTGGAAAAGTGGAAGTAATTTCCTTGGTATGGAGTACAACATAAGGGGGGAGTACAGAGTTACACAATATAACTACATCACCTGTGCTGATGTTAGTAAGTACATATATAACTTGTGACTATGACGAGATGGCGTTATTCTCACATGGTATATGGTTAAATGTGCGGAGCAAGTTTCTCCACGATGTACTTTGTACCCTTCTATAATCGAAAGAGCCAAATTCAACTAGAAATGTCGAAAATTAAAAAAAGGTCGGATCATTTGCCGGCGGAAAGAGATCGGAGGGGCAATCCGAGATCGCCCCGAAAGAGGAAGTTCGCCTGAGACGTTTGCCGATGTTCCATTTAGCCACAATTATTGGCTAGTCCTTCCGAAGAGCGACCGGCGGACGACAGCCACTGATTTGCGATCGTGACCTCCGAGTCATTGATAGAGGATAAAGGATATTAACCATAATGATCCTAGCCTCGACACTGGTATACCTCTTGTAGCCAGTACGTGGAGAAGGAGAAATAAAGGAGACAGTGTGGATCTACTTCGTATAATGTGTGGAAGGGGAGCTCTATCACGACTTAGTATTACCTAAATAGGAACAATGTTGCGCGATATACGGAGTACAACATACAATATAGCCCGAGGTACTTAGATCGATCTACCTTAGGAGCGCACATCATCGAATCTGCGATGCACTAGAAGCTGACGTGCCCGGGATTGCAAGAAGGAAGCGGAATTGCATCACCGCATCCGCGTCCCCAAGCCCAATACAGCTACGACACATCCCATGGCGTGATCAAATGCCTCACCTTACCATAGAGCTCCGAGGAAACATGTACCATTTACGGCTCCGTAGTGGGTGAGTCAGGAATTTTGACTCCACGCACGACCCCAAACAAGCCGCAATTCTTCAAGCTCCCTGCATGCACACAACGTGTCTGTGCTGCAGCTCCAGTACCTGGACACCCTGCGCGCGACGCCGATGCTTATAGGTGAGTGTGAGCGGTTAAACTGCTGATGAATGCTGTTACTGTTAGGTAATTAGTGTGTGCTGTGGGGATGCTGATTCGTCAGGGGGCGGACCTTGGGAGCACGGTGCATACCTTGACAGTGGAAGGGCTAGAACGTTTGTTTTGGATGTTGATCTGTACATCGTACTTTATATGTATATTTTGATATGCTTCACTTCTATTGCTCTTTTTTTTTCTTTCTTCTAAAGGGGTTTCACAGATCTTGCAATTGCTCAGACCTGTGCCCCGCAAATTGCAAGCCTCGCAGGTGCGGGGTAGAGGCGTATAGGATAGACGAGCGCCGTGACCTCGAGATGGCAATTCGTACCCCTTAAGTGTAAGACTCCTATAGTCCACTTTTATAGATCAGACGACTAAACTTCTATTCAGGCGGTCAACAAAAAAAAAAAAAGA